CATCTGCCTCTTCCAACTTCAAAATAGTACACCCAATCTCCTCATGCCCCCCGGGCAAGCGATATTATCTGATGTTAACCACTTGGGTGGCCTGTGGCAGGTGGAGGTGTGCGTGCTGGGGATGTCCTCTAACCGCTGTTTTCACCACGCGCACCCACAGGCGGAATTCCCACACAGATGTCATGACAGTCAGTCCCCTGAGCACATCCACCCCGAGGATGTACTCAGCAATAGGGGATACGTAGACCTCATAAACCCTGAGAGGGAGACGTCCGATGCCCAGGGTGAGGGAGACTCTACGCACCGTGATGTGCCGGCCACCATACCCCTCAATAGTGGCTTTTGGGCCCTGAAAACGGTCCAGATTGCCATATGTGAGGGTGCTGTCTGCCTCAGTGTCCACGAGGGCCAGCACCAGCTGCACATTCTTGGGGTACCAATATATGGTGAGTTCAACATGCGGCCTCCGGTCATCCGGCTCCGCCATCAACGGTGTGCCCCGGCCCACTCCCTAGTCAGGGAGGAAGTCAGCTATGCGCAACTCCCCGGCAACCCGCTTCTGTCCCTTTGTGGGCATCGTGGTGAACTTCTGCTCAGGCCATAGTTTCTACCAGAGGGCCAAGAGGACCTCAAAGGGCTGGCCGTCTAATTTCTCCGCGGCCACCAGGTCAAACCACATTTGCTGGCGGCTCACCTTAACTCCCTCCCTCGCCCTGGCCCTTGGACGAGGCTTTCCTAGCCCGTTTCAGGGAATTGGGTGACTTACGCCCTTTTCAGCCACAGGCCTTGCCGGAGGACTTCCACGTCCCCCAGTCTAGCCAAAGCCCCTGTGACCTCATGGATGGGCTGGTCTGTATAGGGAGCTAACAAGGCAGCCATAGCCCCAAAAGTTCCCGGCGGGCTGTTAGCAAGGATAAGGTCTTTCATGCGGGCTGTGAATATCTCTTCATCTGGGCTGTTATACTGTAAGGCAAAGATCATCTGCCTCTTGTCCATCGCCCATATGACTTGCACCAGTCCAACTAAGCGGTCCACTTACTCACGTGCTCCGGCAAGTCCCCTGTATTGTCCCAGACCGTTCGGGCAGCAGCCATGAGCCAGTTAATCAGGGTCTGATTACCGGCTTGGGGATTGGTCAAACGTGCCCCAGGGAGGGCACCATGATGATGCTGGCCAGCTGTGCCATCTCCGTGGGGCTTAACTCCGTGTTGTCCGCCCCATCATCCCACAAGCGCAACAACCAAGTGGGTACTGACTCACCCAGGCGCTGCTTGCTCTGCTTCGCGAGCTCCCGCAATTCCATGGCCGTATAAGCAGTGTCAGAAACATGATGAACCAACTGTCGCGGTCCCACAGCTCCACCCCCAGGAGCCAGCGGCTCCTCAACTTCCACCCTTTGTCGCACTACCAGTCGGGCACGCTATACCGGCCCTGTTGGGCTGCTGGCCCGGGAGGGCACCTCCGACTCATGGGACCCTTGGAGCGTGCATTCAGCCACCACCAGGCGTTGCTCCAAGTCCTCTTCCTGGAGTTGCAAGTGCTACACCCGGTTCGTGTACTCCTAAATGTCACGGCTAGCGTGTTGTAAGATTGCTAGGAACATCCAGGCCACCCGGCTGGCCGCCTCCTGGTGCGCCAGCGGGAGTTTGGCTCCAATGCCTCCAGGACTTTCCAAACGTCTTCTGGTCGGGGGCACATGGCGTCCCAGTCCTCCGACGGAGTCCACTCCAGCAGGTACGCCACGACCGGATACCAGAGGGATGTCTGGGGCCACATCCTGTCTACCCGGGGCAGTTCCTCTACCAGGGCGGAAGGGGCACTCGCCTCATTCTGCTGATTACTGCAAAGTGTTGTTGCTGGGGGGTTGCCGGGGAGCTTTCAGCAGTGAGATGCCCAGAGTAAAGAAAGCATGCAGAGCCGACATGAGGAGGAACCAGCGTCTTTAATCAGCAATAGCAACCATTATACAGAGGTTTTGGGGGAGGAGAGCGCACGGGAGTGTGCATACTCCCTCCGCAAATGCAAGTCATGCTTAGAGTAAGGGCTTATGTAACACGAGCCTGGCACCTGCGCAGCAGGCTCTGGAATCAAGGTCGTTTGTCAGCCTGCACACATCTGTACAGCCTGGTGCCCAAGGCCTCCGTTAATGTGTGTCTGAACGTGCCCGGGCCCTGTCACCCATTCTCTCCAAGTTGGAGCACCCTTTACCTCGCTTGGGTCTGTGGCCAGCTTTCACTGCCATACTCCAGCCTTCAGTTAGTCTTTCTGAGCTTGTTTTCGCAACTGTAAGATGAGGATGAAAATAGTACATGTTAATAATGTACATAAGAGCACATAGAAAGTACCTGGTCCACAGTTGTGCTGCTAACATTCTCTGCATTCGTTAATGAAACTCAGATGTTTAGGTAGAAATAACGTCTTACAGATAGATATCTTCTCATAACACAGGACCTTTCCACATAAAAACTGAGCAGCTCAGGTCTATGCCGATGTCCTAATTACTTGGCCTTCTGCTAGATACAGCAATTTTATAATTATCTGGCTCATGTTGAAAGAAATTTAATAGAAAAACTATATGAGGAAAACTATTAGGACTTCTAATTAGTCATAGCCTTATATTCATCTTAATGTTGAGAAAAAGATTTATGACCCCTTAGTTTCATTTGTCTTGATTAAAAGACAAATAATGTGTTATCTGGGTAGCTGATGGTGGTCAGTACAGTGTGTGTGTGTGTGTGTGTGTGTCTGGCTGTCTGGCAGTGTTATGATATTACTGGTGGTGCCTGGAAACCCGGAGGGGTATGGTGAGACTTCTTTGGATAAAGAAGCACATTGGAGAGACTCGTGAGTCATATATTGCCATGATTATCACACTGAGCTCTGCTGGATTTGTGCTGCATCTGGCCATGGGGGCAGCAGGCAGACTGGTTTGTGAGCATGAATGGTGTTAGCTTGGATGTCATAGTTGAGCACTCTGCAGGAGAAAATAAATTGTTAACATAAAAGCATTTTTTAATGACTTTAGGTAGGCCGTGACCTTTAAAACGCTGTGGTTTGTACCTTGTAGAGTAAAATAGCTCTAAAGCTGACAAATTTTTTTTGTTACTTTGAACTTAGAGTCCGTCCGCTAAGTCATGGCACCATAACGATTAGGAATCTACAATTCTAAACTATCATTATGGAATGTTGTCCTCAAATTTTACACTATTAATGATGTCACCCTGCCCTTGGAAACAATGTTGAGTCTTGCATTTCAAAATAAATAAGACAGAAATGCTGCAGCCTGTATACTGGAGTGTTTGTGGGTTTCGGTTCTGTTCCATCTCACTTATTTTGCCTCTGGCCTGAAAATGAGTTTATTCTTGGGTTAATCTTTTAGAGACTCTCCAGTTTTGTACATATTAACCCTTTTTTCAACTTCAGATCATTTCTTGCCACTTGATTGTTATTTTAGAATTTGCTTACTTCTGCACATTTTAAGTGAACTAATCAGATAATTTTGGAAATTTTTCTTGAACTGTGCATTCTGCTAAATATTCCGGGGAAACGTTTTGGCTCTGCTTACTTTGTTAATGCTGGTTACATCATTATGGAGCTATAGATTTCTTGGGCGTGCAAAATGATTGCATATTCATGAACATCTTCAACCCTGAAATATTTGTAAATAACTTGGCAATTTTTTTCATAATGTGGCCTATTAAAATGATTAGGTCTTTAATTATTCACACAGAAAGACCTTGTGCTTACAGAGACCACCTATTTGATAAGTAACATTTCTATGCTAAGCAGCTTGGATTATGAACATATAAATCACCTTCTTTAAACAAAGTATAAGAGATGCTATTTTCCACTTAAGAATGATTCAAGTTTGAAAATGTCAATAGATGCAAAAAGCCACCCTAGAGCTTTGCTCTCTCTCGAAAGAAAGTAGGAAAGGAATGACATAGTCAATGTTAACTGTCACCAGATGAAGAGAAATCAGATTGTCAGGCCTGGATCTATAACATTCTTGCCAAAGTAGGACCTCATTTACACATACAGATCTTCATACCCTTTGCTAAGAAAAGCATCTGTGGCAGTTTAGATGTTTGTGCGTTTGCCAAAGATCTTTCACTCTGAGTAAAGTAAATGTCATGTCTGTTGTTTATCTCCAATTCAGCAGAGGGTTTTTAAAAGGAAATATTTGTGGGGGAGGGTCGAGGGAAGAAGACAGGGGAGAGTTTGGGGAGTTAGTGGGGTGTGGCAGTGTTACAGCCGTACTCAGGATCAGATTGGATCGGGGTAAATCAGCTTAAAACATACTTAGGGCTCACGAGCTGAAAATGTCCTTGTGAAGTGACAGCGCTACAATAAATGGGACTGTGGAGCCTCCTGAATCAATACCTATTCTGTCAACACCAAAGAAAACACAAAAATCCAGTTAATTCAGCCAAACTGATTATTTGGCATCGTGTAGACACAGCTGTCTTGAACTCAGATTTTGAACAGTTAAACATAGATGGCATTGTACCCCAAGTCAGCGTCTACAATGGCATCTATCTGTAATTGTGAATAAAAATTGCATAGACTTCAAAGATTGGAAATAGAACTTAATTGTTCCAACTTCAAGCTGGACCCCATTGAATAGCAATTTAAAATAAAGAAACCCTAGGTTGTGATAAAATTTCTTGACAAATAGGCAGTCTTGATAAGATCGGACTTTTAGTTAAGAGTGTGATGTAATTTAAATATGTAAATTGCCTTGAATATAAAAAAAGGTAATTCTTTACAAAGTACCTTTTTTAAAAACTATTTAATCTAGCTCATAGGCATTCAAAATCATAATGAGATCCTAATGTAAAGTAAATCCTGATAATTTTCTTGAGGACATCTATATCAGGTGATACAATTATATAGACTCCTTCCAAAAATCAAATATTTGCCTTCAGTAATCCCTTCTCTGTGTTATTTGTTTTGTGGAAATAGTCTTTGTGACTCTGAATACCATTTTATTCCCACAGATGACATGGAAGCCATTCCTGTCAAACAGTTTGTGAAACACATTGGTGAGCTCTATTCTAATAACCAGCATGGGTTCTCCGAGGATTTTGAGGTATGTTTCAAAATGAAATTAATTTCCAGAAACCTAATTCTTATTTTACAGAGATTTTTGTAAACTTGAAATGAATTGACTCCAAGCACAACAATGAGGAAAGCGGAGATATTTTTCTTTTCCTTACCTACACTTATAATTTTAACAGGCATTCTTTTCCCAATAAAAATTAAGTGAAAGGGAGTTGGTTGCATATGGCCTGGCCATGCATTTCTACGAAAGAATAGGCTTAGTGGCAAAAAAGAGGCAAACTCAGGTTTTCTCTTCATTTTAATTCTGACCTGGGCAGCAGCCCTAATACAAAGAATGGGGCCCCTAATTTCACGCCATTTCCAGGATGCATAAGGGGTAGTGGAGAGAGCAGATTTGAACTCTGAGACACGCGATGCCGGTTCCACTCGTGGTGAGCTTTGTTATCCTCGGGCCAGTCTGATCCCTCGTTTCCTCATTTTTAAAAACAGTGCTAATGTCCCGTCCATCCTAACATTGTTGGGAAAAGTGAATGATTAACATCTTTGAAAGGGCTGGGTTAAGGGTGAAGCCATACAGCGGTGGTGGTTGTCCTGATTATTAATCTTTGGAGAGAAGACATGGGTTAACGCAGCCTTCGGATTTTAAGAACTGGTGTGTAGGAAACAAGGTAGAGAGCAGCTTGCACCCCCTGCCAACTCTGGGTTCCCTGCCAGTTCGGTAGTGACAGGGTGTCGATGAGGAGCTATTAAACAGACTGCCCTTTTCTTCACTGAGGCGCTTAACTAAGGCACATCTCTGGCAGCAAGAGTTGTGCCGAGGAGGCCAAGTTTTCATGGCAGCTCAGCTGTCTCCTAGCTTTCTGGGTAATTCGGTTCCTTTCTCTGTCTCATTTCTACTTTAAATGAAAATGATGATCAGGACGCTAACCTGCCCAGCTCTTTTTACAAAATTGGTTACGAGATTCCAAGGAAGTAATGGAAAGTAAGCACTTTAAGATTGTCTAGGAGCCATACAGCTGGGAGGCGCAATACTTTGCATGGAGGATGAGAAATAAAAATAGGACCAACAGCTCCAGTCTCTGCGCAAATGCAGAGTCCCCAAAGGCCATTATAAAAGCGTTTATATTGACAACTCATTTTAAATAAAGTCTTTCCCTTAGTTTTTGGGTTTTGTTTTGTTTCTTGGGCAGAGTCAAAGCAAAGGTAGCAGAAAGGAGCCTTCTGATGTACTTTGCAAAGTCATATGTTTCATGGAACAAACAAAACATGTCAAGTATTTAATGCAGCTATTAGATGCTTACCAAAAAGATGCCTATTCAACTACAAAGAACATGGTTTAAAGTCAAACATTTTGTATTCATGAGGACAGCAAATGTGTGTGGTGTTAAAGTGATTTAGTTCAATTGACTGTTGGCTGGATGACTGAGCAAGAATATTGAGGCATTTAACAATGTTGATGGTATTCAGGACAAACATTTATCCTCTAGAGGACAGAATTTGATGAGGATGATCAAATGCAACTCCAGTTTCTCAATTATTTATGATTTGAGACCCCAGTGCTATTCATCACAGCTGGTTTTGACACCATTTAATTATTCAAACTAATCAGCTACACCTCTGTAAACTTGATCTGACTTAAAATGGGCTTTGCTGCATCAAAATCATGCCTGTTAACAAATCCGAGGCATCTGCACCCTATTTCTATCCAAAAAAAAAAAAATTACTGTGGCTAGGTTTTGTACCCTGTATTGAACTGTATACCTTAAACATTATTAGCTGGTAATTATAGGAGGGGAGAACAGGAAGGAAGGAGGCATTGTCCCACTGTTGTCATTTCACAATCTCTCCTAGTTTGAAAGGTCTAAAATCAGAGCTATTCAGAATAGGAAGAATATCCTTTCTTTAAAGAACAGTGAGGCAGCAACACAAAGGGGGGCGCGGGGAGACACATTATAAAAGGTTACTAATATACGGTCATCTTCTAATTTAGGGAAAATTTGAAGTATTGAAAAACAGTAGCATTATTCCTTTTTGGTGGCTCTGCTAAAAAGAAGAACTGACAACAGGACATATAAGAAGTATTAATGGTTGTTTTATCCACAAGAGCTAGGAATAGGCTCTGAAACAAAGGTCAGGAAAAGAGATCTTCTGTGATTTTTAAAACCACAAAACAAAACCCTTATGGTAAGAGAATAGTAACCTGCACCCCAGATTTCCAGATCTTTTTATGTGGAATGATGATGGCTGGCATTTTCTTAGTTCCTCAGTGTCACCCCATGAAGTGGGTGCTATTTTATTGTCCCCATTTTACAGATGAGGAAACTTGACCCATGAGAACACTGAGGCTTTGGGTGACTCCGTTTGAAATGGCAGGAGGTATTAAGACCAGGGCTTTCTGAAGCGAGCCCACATGTTTAACCTCGACACCCTCCAGACTTTCATTAAAGTGTCTTGTAATGAGTTGATGTCAGAAGAAAAAAATCAAGATTACCAGTGATCGTCTAAAACTGATCATCCCACTGACGGGCCACCACTTCCCTTAGCAAAAAAGCAGGTGGGGGAGCAGCCAAACTAAGAAGTCCCCACTAAGACTCCTAGGAGCCCATTCCGTGATCTTTTGGGTCTAGAGCCTTCCCAGATCGCTGAGAATCTGACTTACAAAAATCTTAAAATTAGTCAAAGAACTAATCATAAGATGATAGAGAAATACTGTGGAACAGTTGATATGTGGCCATTAATAGAAAATAAAGCAACTCATCTAACAGTTAGGAGTACCTGCTGTTCCCTGGACATCATGTAATGTACAAGGATAAATTCAAGACCCTGCACTCAAGTTCAGTCTGGTGGGGGTAGAGGCTCACAGCTGCAATAGACAGAGGGTAACGCAAATGAAGTGCTAATGCAGAGTCCTGAATTTTGACTGGGTATTTGACCAGAAGCTCTATTAATATTTGCCCCATCTTGTTTAAAAATCATGGATGGAAGTGAAAAAAGAAATTGGTGAATATTTTCTGTCATATTTTCAGAACTTTCCTCCTTGGAGGGAAATGAGAAAAATGATTCACTGGTAGTTTTGAGTCTTTGTCTAAAGGTGATGCTGAAAGCTAGCTTTTTGTCCTTATCAGATAAATGTTGGAGACTGTTAAAAGCTGGCGACATTCTATTGTACCTCTAGCAGATTTTGCAGTCACTGGAAATAAGGCCAATCCTTGTCTCAGGATAGTGTTTGATGACTCCGTTCCCTTGGCTACTTGAGCTGACTTCAACCTCAATCTTCCTTGGCCTCCACAGTCATGATCCAAGAGGCTTCCAAAGGCGCGATGGTGGCATAACCTTTCAGAAGGAGGGAGCGCTGAGACTCTAGGGGGCGGCAGAATTAATAGGCCGGACTTTGGAGCATCACAAGTTTAAAGGCTGAGCCCAGAGATGAGGCCAGAGGCCCAATATCCCTTGATGAGATCCTTCGGGGCATCACCTCTATTACAATTAACTCCAGCTGAGCTAAATTTGGGCCAGTTGCTCATCTTAAATCAAGAGAACAAAGCTTGTCCACCTGAGCCCATGTGCTGAGGGACCAGTGGCCACAGTCATTGTATGTACAATGCAGAGTTCTACTGTTGCCCATGGCACATAATTGGGAATAGGTGTGATGCACGAACACTGCCGCCAGCAAAATGGCAGAAAATGACCCTGCAAAGTTTCCTGAGCCTCAGTGGCAAAATGCCTAGTTTGGGTCTTAAATGACTTGAAGAAAAACATTTTTAAACCCTTATTATGAAGAAAATCATGGTTGGTTAAGTTGAGCTTCCTATGAAGAGTGGGGGAAAAGTAAGTTTGCCAAATTTCTCACGTTGTATAGAAAATTTTCTTTTATAGACCTGCTACAGCGTGATAGGCATTGTGGTGCACACTCCAAAGATGGGCTGGTTTTCTGGGGCAGTAAGGCAGCGGTTTTAGAGAAAGACATCTGGATTTGGATAGGAAAGAGAAGAACAGGCATTCCTAGCAAGGTAAATGGCAGTGAAGAAAAGATCAGGAAGTCATGTGGCCCTTTCAAGGGCACAGAGTTAAAACTGCCTGGGTTTGCATAGGGAGCTGCTAAAAGACAGGACGAAAACTTGAAAGCCTGGCCAAGCAATGTGGAATCTATCCAGAGGTTTCTGAGTAAGAGAATAAAGCCAAAGCAACATTTGAAGAAAATCAGTGTGGCAGCTGTTTGGAGCCTGAGCAGAGGAGAGTAGAGGCTCCAGGAAGATGCGTTGTCACCAGTACCTGACAGGGGCCAGCCCTGTGTCCTTCCTGACGTACTGGGCTGTACTCATGACCTAAGTTCATCGGTCTTCCATGGGACAGCCCCCTTAACACAACTGTAAGCTGCCTGAACTCAGACTCTTAAGGTATTATACATATTGGGTCGAACACTTGGTCACCAAATCCAAAATATTTCTTCTCAGCTTGCTTTGTGAAGTTGAGTAATCTGAAAGATTTCTCAATGTGTTTTCATTCAATTATTTTTTCGAATTGAGCCACAGAGTGGTAGAACAGTAGTTCTCCACATTCCCTTTCATATCATATCGACAACCTCTCATATCGACGCCAGGCAGAAATGATTTAGCCTACTTCATCTCCCAAGAATTCTGAGTATATCAACTTTAGTGGTTGGTTGGTTGGTTTTTTGTTTTACTTTATTTTAAATCTTCTGTTTTCAGTTGGCTGTCTTCAGTGATTGTGTGCCTATTCTCAGAATATTCATTTTGAGAATTCCAGCTTTGTCATATAGACAGTAAATACATACAAGCTTAAATCTTAAACTATTTGTCAGAGTGCTGAATAGGTAACTTTTCTATATACACTCCATTGGCCAGTGTCACTTCCAAGGGTTTTAACACCTCTAGAAATCACATTAACTTTGAAATGCCAGTTGTGATAGACAAAAGCCACTCCAGGATCAGATGATATTATCAACATCTAAATGAGCCAAGTGGTACTGCAAGGAATTACAGATGGCATTATCATCAAGACAAAATCCGAAGGCCTTAGGCAAACCCCTTGGGTTCTAATAAAATCAGATTTAGCATTATTTATGACTATTCTTTGTTTTCTGTCATTCACATAATTGGAAAAGTGAAATAGAGGCAATGGATCAGACCAAGGGTTTTAGATAACAAAGAGTGATTGGCCATATTGAATGGCTGCTTTAAACAGTGCAGACAGCTGCTCCCAAGCAGTCTTGGTCAATTGCATTATATCATAATAGAGGCTCAACCTCAGTCCATAGCCAGTGTGGTCAGATTTACACAATGGGGGAAAAATATTAATAAACAAAGCGACTCTCAAACAAAAGTACTAAAAGCCAAAATCTCTCAGCACAAGATATCTCAGCAACTCAACCCTGAAGAGGTACATGCTAAATGTATGACCTTCAAAACCCAGAAACAAAAGGATGTCAGCTTATTTCAGGGATTTCTGTATAGACTGAATTAGTGTCTTCCAGGATACAAATCCATTTTCAAAGGTTTTCTGCCCCTGCTACTATTCAAGGTGATTCTCCGAGGCTGGCTCCCCAATACTCTGAAGATGGCTAGTCTTGCTTGTTTTGTAGATGTTAAGATACCAGACTCGTTACTTTGTGCCCAACACTTTATCTCATTTCATAGAAAAGACCCAGAGGCAGCCTTAGGCCCCTATAAACCAGCATTTGCCAAACCATGGGTTATAAACCATTGCAGAATAGAAAATACTAGAGTTTATCACATTTAGTAAGAATAAGAAAGAAGTAAGAATTGCCATGCAGCACACCCCCAGAGAGCTGTGTTGAATTAATGCCTGTCGGGCTTTTTCTTTTTTTAATGGACAACTGGGAAAGACTACAATTATGAAAAATTCAATATACAGGATCCACTATAAGGAGTCCAAGAATATGTGTCTTTGACTAGATAGCAGCCCCTTTGTTTTTATACCTTAAGTTCTTTGATAAAAGTGAGTTCCTCCTTGGAGAGAAGAGAGGGACTCCTCAGTGAGAAGTAGTCTGTGCATATGAAAGAGAACCGGTTCCTTGTTTTCATTATGCCTGATGTAAATGCTGTGGGAAACATCCCTAATTGCCAGGCGGCTCCTTTGTGAGAAAAAGTCTGCGTGCTCCTAAACTCTGTTACATCTGCCACGTGTAAAACATTTCTCCTGATAATTTTGTGTCGCTGTGCCCCTGCTCTTTGTCGCAGCTGTGCACTGCTAATGACTTGCCTTGTTAGTTTGCTTCTGTACTTTCTTGGGTTTGAAGCATACAGGGGGATAAAAAATGACTTACGGCAACCTTGTTTTAGGCTCATTGATGATGTTTATGTCCATGGCAAAGAGAGTTGCTTCTTCCACTGCTGTTTTTCTAAAGAAGGGTGATTTCAATACAATTCGAGTTCCCGAATAAGTCATCAGAGACATATATTTGAGCCAGCTGTGATAACTGATGGGGCTGTGTATTAGTGTCATCTCAGAACTGAGTCTTTATAGCCAGTTTGCATTCTGACAGTTACAAAACAAGGCTCTATGACCTATGAATATACTGTACATCATGGTGGAGATGATACATGTGACTGGAAAATTCTTGCTCATCCTTAAGGACTCGGAAATTATCTGTCTGAAGCCTTCCTCTATGCTCCCATCATCCTTCCTTCAGGCCTCTTTTCTGTTAATCACATTTGACTGTCATTATCTTTGTGCGTGTTTTTCTCACCCATCAGACTGTGACAGAGCCAAAAAGCGATATTGTTTTGTAATTCCCACGCCTACGTCAAAATCTGTAATAAAGTGGGTGATTGATGAACTAGTAAAGAATGAAATCCTTTCATCTTGTTCACATCCTTCATTCATTTATTATGAACATGTCAGTAGTAATTATTTCTGAAGTTGAGTTTGGGGAGGTAACAGTGGCAGTGGCATGGGAGTGAGTAAATACTTGATGCTTTTGGGTGTAAATAGTTACTTTCTTTCTACAGCCTTGTTGTTCAATGTCTACAGTGTGTCTAAAATCTTTGAAATGTTGCTGTTTTCTTCACTAGGAAGTCCAGCGCTGTACGGCTGATATGAACATCACTGCAGAACATTCCAATCATCCTGATAACAAGCACAAAAACAGATACATCAACATTTTAGCATGTGAGTAATGAACTTTTAAACTACCTTCAACTACGAGGAAATGAAATCTTCATGGTGGGTATAAGCCTAAAGCCAAGCAGTCAGAACCAGGATGCCAAGAGAGAACGACGCTTGCAAGTTAACCTCCCATTAGCCTGTCTTCAATAGTGTATGGGCAGAAGGGGGGACATTTTCGGCCCCTTAGTCTTTCATGAAGCTGTCAGATCTCTTTCAGTAAGAATGTGTCACTGTTTTCACATGAGGTGATTCCATATCCAGTGCTGGGAACCAGCATTTTAATGCCATGTGGCTATCTTGTCATGGCTTTTAACCAAAGACAGCTAAGTCTTTAACACAAATAGAAATTCTGAGAATTGAATCAAGTAATCTGAATTTGAAACGCACCTTTTGAAGACTAGGGAATTGGTCTGCACCTTGAGTGACGAGCCACGAGTCCCTGTGGCCCCCGTGCTTTGTCCCATCCCACGTATTTCCAGGGTCAAGAGCATCCTGGAGGTTCAGGACTCTAGTAACTGTTCTCATGGAACCTCAGAGAATACCCTCAGAGCACTGGCCACTCCTGTGGCCTGAATGCCACTTTTCCTAGACACTGAGGCTTTGGTCGCTGGCAGATAGTATATTATTTGACATTACGGGCAGGGGCACAGATGTTTATGGTTCACATTCACGATAGTAAGTAACAGACTACACAGAATTTTATGTAAGTGCATTTAAATTGCACCATTTAAATGTGAACACTACTGTAGATCATTTTTAATAATACTGGAGTGAGATATAATTCATATACCATATAAAATTCACCCATTTAAAGTTAATTTAAATTTGAATTTAAATTTAATGTCAGTAGTTATTAGTGTAGTCACAGAGTTGTGTAACTGTCACCACTGTCTAATTTTAGAACATTCTCACCACCCCAACAAGAAACCCCTTTACCCATTAATAGTCACCCCAATTCCTCCCTTTCCACAGTCCCTAGAAACCACTTATCTACGTTCTATAATGTGCCTATTCTGACATTTCATGTAAATGGAATCATACAATACGTGGCTTTTTGTGTCTGGCTTCTTCTACTTAGTATAATGTTTCCAAGATTTACCCATGTTGTAGCTTGTACCAATATTTAATTTCTTTCTATGGCTGAATAATACTCCACGGTGTGGATATACCACATTTTGTTTACTCATGTATCATTTGATGGACATTTGAGTTGTTTCAGCTTTTGTATTATTATGAATAATGTTGCTAAGAACATTTGTATACATGGTTATGTGTAGACATATTTTTTAATCCTTGGCATTATACTTAGAAATGGGGTAGCTAGGTCATATGGTAAGTTTATGTTTAACATTTTGAAGAACTGCCAAACTGTGTTCCAAAGTGGCTGCTGCACCATTTTACATTCCCACCAGCAATATATGAGGGTTCTAATGTGTCCACATCCTCGTCAACACTTTATTTTACTTTATTTATTTAGATAAGTGCCACACTAGTGGCTGTGAAGTAGTATCTCACTGTGGTTTTGATTTGCATTTCCCTAGATTAGTGATGTTGTGCATCTTTTCATGTGCTTATTGGCCATTTGTATATCTTCTTTGGAAAAACAATCTCTTCAGATTCTTTGCCCATTTTTTAATTGGATTACTTGTCTTTATTTTCGTTGTACGAGTTCTTTATATATTCTGGATGCAAATCCCTTATCAGATAGTTTGCAAATATTTTCTCCCATTCTGTACATTGTCTTTTCCTTTTCTTGATACTGTTCTTTGAAGCAAATATTTTTAAAATTTTGGTAAAATTCAGTTTGTCGATTTTTCCTTTCATTGCCTGTGCTTTTGGTATCATATCTTAGAAACCAGTGCCTAATCCAAGATCATGAATGTTTTTGTCAAAAACACCTATGTTTTTGTCATAGAGTTTTATGGTTTTAGCTTTTATATTTAGGTCTTTGATCCATTTTGAGTTAATTTTTCTAAGTGGTGTGAGGTAGGACTTCATTCTTTGCATGTTGATGTCCAGTTGTCCCAGCACCATCTGCTGAAAAGACTTTTCTTTCCCCCATCGAATTGTCTTAGCACCCTTACTGCAAATTAACTCACCATAAATGTAAAGGTTTATTTTTGGACTCTCAATCCTATTCCATTTATGTGTGCCCTTATGTCAGTACTGCACTGTCTTGATTCTGATGATAGGTTTATAATAAGTTTTGAAATTAGAACCATGAGTCCTCAAACTTTCTCCTTTTCCAAGGTTTTTTTGGCTAATCTGTGTCCTTTGTGTTTCCATATGACTTTTAGGATCAACTTGTTTATTTCTACAAAAAATGTAGCTGGGATTTTGGTATAGATTGCATCAAATCTAGATTAATTTGGGGTGCATTGCCATCTTAACAATATTAAGTCTTCCAGTTCATGAAGATGGGATGTCTTTCCATTTATTTAGTCATTATTTTCTTTCTTTCAATGATGTTTCATAGTCTGCATTTTACAAGTGCTGCACCTTTGACAAATTTATTTCTAAGTATTTCATTCTTTTTAATGCTATTGTAAATGGAATTGTCTAATTTTATGTTCAGATTGTTCATTGCCAATGTATAGAAATACAGTTGAGTTTTGTATATTGACCTTGTGTCTTACAACTTTGGCTGAACTCATTTATTAGTTCTAGTAGTTATATTTTGTGGATTCCTTAGGATTTTTAAATACAAGCTTGTGTCATCCAAGAATATAGGTTTACTTCTTCCCATAAATAAAGTTTTAGAAGAGCCACAAGTCATTTTTGAAAAAGAATATTTTTTTCTTTCAGTAGTCTAAGAGAATGAGGAGGTAAAAGACAGAACAAGGAAGAAGAATCAAATTTTTCTTCTCTCTCCAAGTCTTTGAATGATTTGACTCTGGCAGTATTTGTTGGCCAATCAGTCAAGGCTCATGTCGCTGAGGTTGTGAGGACTCATTTCTAACCATATAAGTCAGGCAGGACTATATACACATATGTGCCTTGTATATATCCACACACATCATCCTCTCCACCATAGCAACCTTTCCTTCTCGTGACCCCACTCCCTTGGCTGAACATATGTGGTTGCAAAGAAAAGGGAGAAAATCAACTTCTGTGTGATGTGACCACGTGTCATGGTGTTTTGCTGGAAAACCAGCATCTCTGGCCAGATGTGGTTATACTTTTACAAGTTCATTTCTGGTTTTACTTTCACAAATTGAAATTCCATGTGGTTTTATTTTCATAAATTCAGAGAGTTGGGTTTTGGTGTTCTCTTGGCCACTTAGTAAGCTCCTGGGCATATCACCTGCCACACTGGTCTACCCCGATATGAATGCAAAGAGTAGCATGGAAATGTCATGGAACAAGTAAAATTAGACCATGAATGTGCCAGAAAAACAATGTAGGAAAAGCCTTCTCTTACAGAGCCATCACAACTCTCAAGGTACATGTGGATGCCACCCACCACCTCCTATATTGATCTATTTAGCCATTCTACTACCTCACTAATTAAATACGAATTTCGCAACTCGAAGAATATGTGTTTTTATTTGTCAGTCTGAAAAATAACAATATATAGTATAATGCTACTAAAGCATAGCAGTTTATTTCCAGATGCCTCAGGAGAAATTTTTAATTTGGGGCACCCTGTTCATATCAACTGTAGTCTGAGAGTTTGTCAGAACTAGAAAAGCAATTCACAATTCCAAGAATGTAAAGAGGGCTTTCAAAAAGGGCTTGATATAGTCTGTCAGTCATGTCCAGGCTATTCCAGTCATTGGACTTCTTTTTGAACTATCCTCTTTTTTTGATAATTTTTTATTTTTCAATTACAGTTGATATACAATATTATATTAGTTTCAGGTGTGCAACATAGTGATTAGACATTTATATAACTTATGAAGTGATCACCCCAATAAACCTAGTACTCATCTGAAACGATACATAGTTATTACAGTATTATTGACAATATTCCTTATGCTTTACTTTGCATCTCCATGACTATTTTGTAACTACCAATTTGTACTTCTTAATCCTTTCCACTTTTCCACCCTCCTCCCATCTCATAACCATCAAAATGTTCTCTGTATGTATGAGTTTGTTTCTGTTTTGTTTGTCTATTTTGTTCTTTAGATTCCACATATAAGTGAAATCATATGGCATTTGTCTTTTTCTGTCTGACTTACTGTGTAGGTCCATCCGTGTTGTTGCAGATGGCAAGATTTCATTTTTTTATGACTAACGTTCCATATTATATATATATATATATATAAAATCACCTCTTCTTTATCCATTGATGAACACCCAGGCTGCCTCCACATCTTGGCCATTGTGAACAATGTTGCAATGAACATAAGGATGCACATGTCTCTTTGAAGTAGTGTTTTGGATTTCTTCAGATGAATAGCCTGAAGCAGGATTACTGGGTCCTTCTCTGTCTCTTGTTATAGCCTTTGTTTTACATTCTGTTTTGTCTGGTATAACTATTGCTACCCCAACTTTTATTTTTGTTTCTGTTTGCATGAAATATCCTTTTTCATCCCTTTACTTTCAATCTGTGTGTGTCTTTCCATCTGCAGTAGGTCTCTTGTGGACACCATATGTGAGGGTCTTGTTTTCTTAGCCATTCAGCTACCCTATGTCTTTTGATTGGAGCATTTAATCCATTTACATTTAAAGTGATTATTGATAAATACATAGTTATTGCCATTTTATTGCTGATAGTCTTTATTTTATTTTTTGTTTGTCTCCCCCAACCCTTTTTTTTTTTAAAGATTTTATTGGGGGAATTGAGGGAGGGAACAGCATTGGGGAGGGGGAAAGGGGAATAGACAAGTTGCTGTCCTTTTGTTCTTCAGTCTAGTTGTGGAGGGTGTCGCTTCACTGGCCCATGTTGGTGTTATCATTGTGTTCTTCCCTGCTGAGGCAGTTGCTCGCCAGCCACTGAACGGCTGCTCACGACGACCCATTGGCAGCTCACACTGGCTGCCGACCACTCACGGTAGCTTACAGGAGCCCACTGCAGCCCAGCTCCAGGTTAAGCTGTTGCTCACCACCTTAGCTGAAGAGGGCAGTGTCACTGGCCCATGTGGGACCTGAGCTGGAGGCCCTGCTGCTCAGAGCTCGCACTCCCAAGCCAACTCAACAACTAGCCACTCGGCCAGCACTCTCCCCTTCTTCTTAAAGAAGTCCCTTTAACACCTTTTTAATACTGGCTCAGTGGTGATGAATTCCTTTAGCTTTTTATTGTCTGGGAAACTGTTTATCTGTCCTTCAATTTTAAATGATAGCCTTGCTGGGTAGAGTAATCTTGCTTATAGGTCCTTGCTTTTTCATCGCTCAGAATATTGTGTGCCAATCCCGTCTAGCCTGCAAAGTTTCTGTTGAGAAATCAGCTTACAGTGTTATGGAAGCTCCCTTGTAGGTAACTAACTGCTTTTCTCTTGCTGTTTTTAGGATTCTCTCTTTACCCTTTGGCATTTTAAAAAATGATGTGTCTTGGTGTGGGCCTGTTTGGGTTCATCTTTTTGGGGGACTTTCTGTGCTTCCTGGACTTGTATGTCTATTTCCTTCACCAGGATAGGGAAGTTTTCTGTCATTATTTCTTCAAATAGGTTTTTGATTGCTCGGTCTCTTTCTTCTCCTTCTGGTTCCCCATGATGCAAATATTGGTATGCTTGACGTTGTTTCGGAGGACCCTTAAACTAGCCTCATTATTTTTTTTTTGGATTCTTTTTTTCTTTTTGCTGTTTTGATTGGGTGTTTTCTGCTATGTTCTCTTGCAAATCACTTTTTCCGTCCTCTGCTTCATCTAATCTGTTGATTCCCTGTAATGTTATTCTTTATTTCAGTTATTGTAGTCTTTATTTCTGATTGGTTCTTTTTTTATGTTTTCTGTCTCCATTTTATGTTTTCTATCTCTTTGTTGAAGTTCTCCCTGAGATGATTGAGCACCTTTATAACCATTGTTTTGAACTCTGTGTCTGGAAGATTGTCTCCATTTTGTTTAATTCTTTTTCTGGAGTTTTGTTCTTTTATTTGAGACATGTTTCTTTGTTTCCCTATTTTGGCTGCCTCCCTGTGTTTGTTTCTGTGTACAGTAAAACTTTGGATTGTGAGTGACTTGGTTTGCGAGTGTTCTGCAAGACGAACAAACATTGCTAATACATTTTAACTTGGTAAACGATTGGTGTCTTGCAATACGAGTAGTTTGATTCTGGAACAAATTATGCTTGCAAACCAAGGTATTAATGTATTAGGTAGGGCTGCTGTGTCTCTCAGTCTTAGTAGAGTGGCCTTATGCAGTAGGTGTCCTGTGGGGCCCAGTAGCACAGTCTCCCTGGTCACCTGTGTCAGGTGCTCCAGATGTGTCCTTTATGTGGATTTTGTGTTGTAGTTGAGCCTTGATTGCTGTTTGCACATCTGTGGGAGGGAAAGACCCTCAGGCTGATTGGTTGCGAGGGCTGGCCATAGCTACAGTGGAGGAGCTGTGGTGCAGGAGCTGAGCCTATGGAGCAGGATTTGCTTTAGCAGGGCTCTGGTGCCTGCCCAGAGTGTGTCATTTTGTCCTTCGGGTGTGTCCTTCGGGTGATGCTCCTGTTTGGTCTGAAGCTGGCCACTGGGCATGCCAGCCCTGGGAACCCCCGAGAGGGAGCCTGCCCAGGGCCACCTGGCATGAACCACAAAGCAATCTACAGATGGCCGCCACCCATGCTGGGCTTGGAAGTGCCTCGTGAGGCCAGGCTGCAAACCAAGATCAGCTTTTGCTAGTGCTGGGCGTGGGCCTGCTCAGGAAGAGGTACAGAACATGCCAAAGCCAGATGCTGCTTGTTTGGGGTTTGTGAGCCTTTGAGAGAATTTAGGAAAGTCTGCAGCAAGACAGTCCATTTGTGTGGAAAAGCCACTGGAAGCAGCTTGGGTGGGCCCTAAAGTTAGTTGGGTGGGACAGGGTCTCAGGGAGTCACCAGAGAGAGGTGGACAAACGGTGTTGGCCAGGTTGATGGAGACTGAGATATGGCGACCACCTGCATCTGCATGCTAGAAGTGGGTAGGGATCAACAAAGGAACAGTGGCTCCTGCCAGCACTTCTGTCTGGGAGAAAGCTGCCCCTCAAGCCCTCTTCCTGAATCCCTACAACTCAGTTCCTCCCAGTATGTCCCTGGCATCTTTTGAGCCGCTGCCCCCAGCACTGGAGCTCAGAGCAAGTGAATCTGTCAGTCAGTAAGCCTATGCACAGGCCGTTTAAGAGGAGCGCCGGGGATTCCAGCTGCTCTCCATCTCACTCAGCCACAGTCTCTGCTGGTTCTCACAGCCAGAGGTTATGGGGACTTCGCTCCTGGGCACTGGAACCCTGGGCTGGGGAGCCTGGTGTGGGGCTGGAACCCCTCACTCTGGGGGAGACCTCCACAGCCAAGATATCCCTCCCGATTTTTAACAGTTACACACAGGTGTGGGATTAGCCCATTCGGTCTCTCTGTCCCTCCTCAAGTCTTCAGGGGGCTTCTTCTGTATGTCCTTAGAGGTAGGACTTTGGTTCAGCTAGGCTTCAGATAATTCTCAATGATAGTTTTGTAGTTTAGTTGTAATTTTGATGTGGTCATGAGAGGAGGCAATCACAGCCTTTACCTACTCCACTATCTTGACCTGAAATCCTCTGAACTAGTCTTTTACAATGAGTATAAACAGAAATGTAAATAGGCTTTTGCCCATTTCTAGGTAAGAGAAAATAAAATTATGATCTCAGCTTCCTTTTATTTAATATGTTAGCCTAAAAATACAAGCTCACTCGGTTGCACAACTAGAGGCACATAGCATCACGTCCCCGTTGTTCATAAGCTGAAGTTAAGTGGATCCTAAAACCTGATCATTGACTTAGATTCCTGCAATGACGCTACTCTTAGAAGCAGCTCTAGTTCCCTCAATTAGGTTCTGTTGGGGTGGTGGTGGCGGCGGGGAGGGGGTGTCCAACTGAATTTAGCAATGGAATCTCCTAAAAATAGACATTGTCGACTTGATATAATAATCACACTTTGTTTGTATTAATGGGGGGAGGGGGGACATGGGGGCATGGGTAATCAAAGGCCTTGTAAATTGGTTTCAAAATATAGGACATTTTCGAGGGTTGCAACTTGTAGTTGTTTTACATGAACTAATAATGGCCTCAGTTTACATTTTTGGGGCACTCACAGGTTGGAGCCTGAGGCAGAATTGTCCCTACATTTGTGAGATTGGTTTGAATGCTGTATCTTTTAATTTTTAGTTGTTCTGCCAAAAGATTTCTCACGAGGCTTCTGAGAGATGCCACATTACCTGTTTGCTTTTTTTTTTTTGCTTCAGGATGCTGCTAGTTTTTGAATTATACATTATGGTTTTTTTTTTCTTTTTTTTTTTCTTCTGTAGATGATCACAGTAGGGTGAAGTTAAGACCTTTACCAGGAAAAGACTCTAAGCACAGCGACTACATTAATGCAAACTATGTTGATGTAAGTTAAAAATGTTTTTATAAACCTGTTCGATAATTGAAGAGTGCTGCAAAGACTGTTGAATGTGTTTTAATGCTGCACAGAGCTTTCACTAAAAACACAGCCTATTCAGTATGGATGGCACTTGAATTATTAACTGGTCTGTGATATTGCTTTCATCTTACTTTGTTCTGTGTCACCTTTGAAGGGTTACAACAAAGCAAAAGCCTACATCGCCACCCAGGGACCTTTAAAGTCTACGTTTGAAGATTTTTGGAGGATGATTTGGGAACAAAACACTGGAATCATTATCATGATTACAAACCTTGTGGAAAAAGGAAGAGTAAGCGCCTTTTAGCTTAATATCTTAATCATGTATCCTTGTTCAAAAAAAATATTTATGGAGTACCTGCGATAGGGCAGGAACTTGACCAGGTATAAAGAGTTACAGAAATGAAAAGTGTCCTCTCTGCCCGTACCTTGCTTGTGGTCTAGTGGGAAAAGGCTACCCACTTACCAGAGTGGATTAAATGTGATAATAGAGATGAATAAGGTATTATGG